AACTTTTCTTAACTATACAGGCTAACTCAAATAGGCATATATCCCTCATACGAGCTCGAAATTTTGCAAACTCGGTGGCGTTGGAAAGAGGATTCCAAGACCTTTCATTTGATATCTTATGGGCCACCTAACTCAACCTGTACTGAAAGTTATGACCATTTGAAGTTGATCTAAAAGTCACAACTTAAGCATAACTTGAAAATTTTCAGATTTGGCTCTTTCCAAATTAGTTCTTTCTAAATTTAGCTTTCTCTAAGGCGGGATGTTACAGATTACAATTTCACCTTACATTCAAGAAATCTAATGTTCAAATATCGTTAAAAGTTCTAGTCTCTTTTATACGAACAATTCTTTTTTATCTATAAGACAATAAATTTTTTCCAACTATATATCCATGTTAACGTTAATCGTATTGTATTAACTATACATATAATTTGTTAGCAAAAAGAAATTTTAAAGAATGTAAATAGGACAATATGTTCTGTAGTATTTCATAGTAAAGTACGAAATTATAATTATACTTTCATGGTTGTAAAACAAAAACAATGATAGAGTTATATTGTTTTATTATTATTAGTATATACTATTAAAACCATTTAGAGGACCGGGTTGTGGCCTTGTGGCCTAGTGATTTAATACAGTGGGAAATGGGAATCATTTAGTTCCAGGTTTAAATTTTAGTGGAGAAAAATATTAGGTGATTTTTTTTCATCTGTCTAAGTTTGGATTAATAGAATTACATGATATATCTTGGTGGTGAAAAATAACACATATATAGTGAAATTGATCGAGGTGCATGAAAATTGATCTATATATATATATATTTGAATTGAATTACAATTTTTCACTTAAAGTAAATCAAAATGAAATAAAATATCTACTTAATTAATAAACATTAAACAAAAATATACTAAGCAACATTCAAATAACATATGGTTAAACTTCCAAAAATGTAACAGTAACTTTCTATATACCACCGCAAATATTACAATAATTATCATGAAGATCATTTCTGAGTAATAATTTCCTCACTATCAATGATCTAGGTTTTAAATTTTTTTCTTAATTAAAAATTAAGAACACTTGCAAATTGCAATAGTTACCTCTTCAAATGCAAAGAAGAGGTAGACATAATATCAATATTTAATTGGGGAGTATAATTACAAGGTAGAGTTCATATAAACAATACAATATTTATTGTATTCACAAATAATATTTCAACATGAGATTAAACCTATGAAGATTTTATATAATAATAGAGGTCAATCATGCAACTGCAACACACGTTCTCAAAACTAATATTATTAAAATATTCAAATATTCTTTTATCACCACTTCATAATTTTTTCTAACTAGAATACTGAAATTTACAGGTTATATCTTCTTGATTCTGTGTTAGGAGAGTTTTGTATTTTGTACAAAACAAAATTTTATCTTTTTTCCAACTATAAATTGACGTCCTACATATACTAATGGCAGAGACGAGGGAGACAAGATGATTAGTCTTGAAAAATAAGTAACAATATAAGATCTCTACCAGATTGAAAAGTATTGTTCTTGAATTGATTTTTTAATTTTTCAGTCGCTAAATTTAAAATTATAATGAAATTCTTTTTACTTTGAATGAAAGCAGATGAAAATTGTTTGAATGAAAGTAAAAAAAATACAAAATACACAAACAAAAATCTAAAGAATTCAATTGAAAACCGACAAGGTAGGTTACCTGAAATTGGGAAAACACGAGTTGGAGGAAGAAAAAGAATCTTTGAAACTTCAAAAATGAATATGGTTAAGTGAAATTAGAAGAAAAATCAAAGAATGGGAGATGAAAGAGAGTTGATTAGATGTATAAAAGAAAAGAAATAAATTATGAGAGAAGAGAGAGAGAGTTATGGTTTGATACAAATAGAATGTGGGAGGCTAGCTTAAAAATAGAAATCCTAATGAAATAGTAGTTGTGAATGGTAATTAAATTAAATTATAACTATATTTAATAATTAACTAGTAGATGTTTATTAACGTATGTAATTTTTCCAATTTTTTATTACATCTTGAGAGAAAGGACTAAAGCAATTTAAAAAGAAAATGACGGAGTGTTGAGATGAGGATAAGCGAAAAATAAATTATGTGCTTATTTAATTAATAATTTTGCAATACTTATTAGGAAAATTTACGTGAAATGACAAACATTGATTGTATATTATGTTCCATGGTTACATTTTCAGATATTCTTATTAGCGGCTACAGTTTCTCAATTTTTTCTGTTCGGTTTCTAATTTTATAAATTCAGAATTTGTATAATTTGATTTCTAATTGTATAAATTCAAGTTTTGTATATGTTTACCCAGTTATTTGTATACGATTTGTTGATACACTTGATTTGTAAAAGTTATGAACAATTCATAATAAATTACCATGCTTGTATATTTGCAAGCGAAATATACAAATGGAGTTCTGAAAAATTTCTAAATGTATAAATACAGAATTTGTATATACTTACCCTGTTTGTATATTGAACGCTAAATATACAAACGAATATACCCATAGCAAATAAAACTACAACTATGTAGCATAATTAAGCAAATTGTAACTATGAAGAGTTATTTATTTCACTTACTTGCGAAAAAAACATAGGAAAAATAGTAATAATAAAGTTAAAAAAAAGTTGCTAAAACAATTAGTAATCGAAAATATACAAGGTATATAAAATATGTGTGAGATACATAAATTATATCAAGTTATATACCTTTGATATTTGAGTAATATAATGTATGAAAATTGTATGTATGTAATAGGAGTATTATCGTATTGACTTCTGGATAAGTTATATTTATGTGAGATTAATATTTAAGGTTAGAGAGTATGCTAAGAGATCGATAATGAAAGTTATGATTAAGGTAAGAAGAGATATGGAGAGATATTGCTTGTGTTATAATATATGTTAACATAATGTGTTGTTGTTTCTATTGATTTCGTGATGTTTTACGTTAAACTAATTTAGGTTAGCCTATGATGCCTAGTCACTATGTATGGTGTACTGATACTATTTTTGTACACCTTTTGTTGGTATAAGTTTGTCTCAGGTTGCTTTAAGCGTGCGGTGACAATTACTTATCATCAACTGCCATCTACTATGTTCTCAAGTGGAAGTTGTGTAAGTATTTTTCATTATTTATTATATTTTCTATTCGTACTTTATTAGCAACTCTTGTACCTGTTTAGACTAGGTCCTTGAAATAATAGCTGCAAAGTGGAAAACATTAGAGGTGTAGAATCCTAGCAAGTAGTACCAATATAATGCTCATGACCTATTGTTTGCTCCTTCCCTAATTTTCAAATTTTTTTATTTATCGTTTTTGAATGTTCATATTCTGGATGACTTGGTTACACTTTGAATACTTTACGAGGTATCTCTCACGATATCATCAATATAGATATCAAGTAACTCAATCTGTCAAAATTTAGACATAGAAAGAATTATCTAATATTTTTGCCTTCATTAAAATTTGAATCTAATTCAAATCTCGTGGTCCTTCATGACTTTTTCATTTTTTCGTTCCTCTATTTTGGTTTCTAGTTTGAGTTCTATTTTTTTTCCTTCATATTACGACATACGACAACAAATGAATTATCAAATCGGGAACACATAGAAAGAGAAATGTCAAACTAGATTGGTTGAAGTGGGGGCACATCTAGGTTTTTTATCAACACATCGATAATATCATTTACCATATATCAAAAAAATTGAATATTTAGTAACTGGACATGTTGCAGTGCAAAGCTAAGCACTGAAACCTCTCAATTACCATGACAGGACGCAAGACCTCATTAGGAAACCTCTCGATTGCAAACAATTTTGATAAGTGAAGTTTAATATTTTGAATAATTAATAGAGAGATTAATACGGTGTAAAAGAGATGGTATTAAATTAAGGTCAAAGATTATATAAGAATAATTTAGTCAAATAACCTTTTTAATTAATCTTTCTTAAGAGGTGAAAAATAAATATGACACTAAAATGAACTAGAGTAGTACAAATTTCAATATTGAAACAATGTATTACTTTATTAATTATGCAAAACTTTTATATTAATAATTAAAATTTGTAACAGTTTATACGTAGAGATTGCATTCAATGCTACTAGCTCCTAGCAACATTAAAGACCACAGGATTTCGTAAATCACTATACTTATTCTAATTATATATTTGACACATGTTTCTTGTTCAAAGATAAATATGACTATAAAAATGTCTTTTAGCAAACGAAAGAAAACAACAAAAATTATTGTTGAGATATGTATAAACAATTGAACAATAGAGAAACAATTTCTACCATCAAAAAATAATTTTAGAGAGTACTGGAACAAATTACTTATTCTATCTTTTAAATTAATAGTAATCCACAAGAACATATAATTGATTTTTAAGTGTGAAAATTCCTTCAAAATGTCTTTTAGGAAAATTAATGATTTCAATTATGATATTTATATTAATATCTCCATCTTTCCAACATTATTAGTTTTCGAATTCTTCTTTTTCCTCCGCTTGTTTTTTTTAAAAAAAATAAATATATTTGGTAATGTTGTGTGATGTCAAGATCACTCTTGATTTCATATATATATATATATATATATATAAAGCTTCTGAAATTGAATTGTGATATTCTAATACTTTGTATTATTTAATGTATAAACTGAGAGCTTGAGACAAGTGATTTTTCTTAAAGAAAGAACTATTTGAGAAAATAAAACAACAACTTACGAGAGGGACCAGATTCTCACATTAAAAAACAACAAAAATAACGAAACTGAAAATGGTTCATATCTAGCTATCTAGAGAAGCACTATTTTCTATGACATGGTTAAACACAGAAAAACTATAAATCTATTTTTTTTCTGACCCCATTTATAACTAAAAAAGAAACATGACTAGAAGACAAAAGGTGCTCATAGTAGAGTTGGTGGAGAGGGAGAAAAAAGATCAGTTCCTCTTGTCCATTTCATCCCCATAAGATGGAAGTAGTAACTTTTTGGAGTTCTTTAAAATCCATGAAAACATTGTCATACACGTTCTCCTCCTCTTCAATATCGTCTTTGTTCTCCACGACAACATCAACCATTTCATTATTTCTCTCAATTTCAAGTGTAGGTGCAACTGGACTAATTGAAGAGGCATCAACTTTGAAACGCTTAGCACGCTTAGACGAGGACGATGATGCATTCAAGTTTAACGCTTTGGTCACAATATTTATACTTTTTGAAAGTTTGTGTTTGGAACTATTGTTGTATAAAGCAAGAGATCTACGATATGTAGGAGGAGCATGGTTGTGTTCATCAGAATAGGACACCAAAAAATAGTTCTCATTCTTTGGGCTTTTTTCAATTATTTTTGTTGCTTTGTAGGATCCTGATGTACTACATTTAAAGTAGTTCCTGATATATCATATACACAAAATATAATTAGTACTGATCAAATATTACATTTGTCTACATTTACCATTAATAGTTTTTACTACTTTTTATCATGAAAATTGAGAATTGAACAACATTTTCTACTATATGAAAAAATGATAAAGAGAGCAAACCTCGAGAATGGAGAACCTTTGATTGACTTCTGACCATACTTACGCCATGTCCATTTATCATCTGTGAGTTCCTCTTGCAACATGTCATAGATAACTCTTGTTGACTGATTTTTCCTAATTTCAAATCAAAAGTATTAAAATCAAAACTCTAAACACGCACACTTAAAATTTAACAGAGAAAATAGTTACCTTTTACAAGTTTTAATTAGACAAGTCTTCATTAGTATAGTGAAATTAGGATAAATTTGATCTTGTAATTGTTGTTGTAGATCAATCGATTCTTGTGGTGTTGTAGTATTTGTTGGCACACACGTTATCATTGTTGGCAATGGAGGAAGAAAATTTTGTTGGGTAAATTGAGTTGGTTGAATGGGATGTAAGTACATTTCCTGGTTATTATTTTGGTCTGTGATTATTACCTGGTCATCTAATTTTTCAACTATCAGTTCTTGTGGTGTTGTAGTTGTTATTGGCATACACGTTATTGTTGTTGGTAATGGAGGAAGAAACATTTGTTGACTAAATTGTGTTGGTTGAATGGGATCTAAGTACATCTCTTGATTATCATTTTGATTCATAATTATAACTTGGTCATCTGATTTTACAAGTTGTTGTTGTAGATTAATCGACTCTTGCGGTATTGTAGTCGTAGTTGGCACACACGTTATCGTTGTTGGTAATGGAGGAAGAATGATTTGTTGACTGAATTGAGTTGGTTGAATGGGATTTAAGTACATCTCTTAGTTATTATTTTGGTCCATGATTATGACCTGGTCATTTGATTTTTTCTGGTGAGCAACTGAAAAATCTTAGATAAGTCATTAAAATTAGGCATGTCAGCAACAAAAATTTTATCAAAAGTATTCCAATCACCATTTTCAGAAGTCACCAAGCATGAGTTAGGAGCTGTAAGATCATTAGGCTTATTAATATTACAACTTCTTACCACAACGCTTAAATCCCAATCATTATCCTCCATTTTAAATCTATATATATAATTATATCTAGTTAACTGCAGAAAAAATGGGATAGGGGCAAGAAAATCCTTAAGAATTTAAAAATGTTTTTAATAAATAACTAAGGATTTTTTCTGTAAGAGGGGAGTGAGGAAAAAGATCAAAAAGGGGGCTGATTTATGAAGGAAATAACTGAATTTTTTTTAGTGGGTAGAAAGTTAAAAATCAAAGACTCGAATAAAGAAAGGTGAACCAAATGGGCTTATTATATAGAGAACTCAGAGAGGTACATACCAGCTCCGTGCACATCCATATTCAATTAACATTTAATGAACATTTAATGTTCTTTTCCCTTTCATGGTGAGGATAATTAGAATATAATAAAAGATAATCTCTTGTACCCATTTGTTAAAGAGTCGATAGTTTGATTTTTTTAAATTAAAATATTCTTAAATAGTGAAACAGAAGTCCCCTAAGAAAATAAAATTTGCAATTTCAATAAATTTATGCCCCTTGACTTTACAATAATCTCAAAGTGGGGCGAATAATTATAGTCAATATTTTCTCTAAGAACTATATTTAGTGCGACATGACTACATCACATAAGAAGATGTTAATAACTTTGATAAAGCAGCAATATATGTTATAGATGCTTCAGGATTTTAGGTGTTGTAATGTACTGAAAAGGGAAATTACACACATGCACTTCCCAACTTTGATGCAACACTCGAAATATTCTTAATACAAAATTCTACATATATTAAATTAAAAGATAGTCCAGTACATAAAATATTTTGTGTGTAGAAAAGTCTACATAGACTAGATCTAAAGACAACTCAATGCATTAAACACTCTGTTCACACAAAATTAGGAAAATATTGTTACCTAAGAGGTGTGATGTAGAAAGTTTATTCTAATACAAGCATTAATTGTTGCTTGCATCTTAGATAGACTAGATTCTCATAATTAAAATAAAATAAAATTACTGACATTGTATAAGGTGAAATTCGAATTTGGCACGAGGACTGGTTGAAATTTGACACATAATAGCATCTTCCTAATGTAAACCCCTGCAAGAGACAAATATGATCTCATCTACTTGTAAGAAAAACATCATTGAAAAGCTCTAATAATACAAAAGATTCATGATCTTCTGATTATTTCTTGCTCTTATTTTTACTTGTCATTATATTTACACTTATTATTATCCACGTTCTTCATACAATTTACAATAATAATAATAAGAATAACATACTTAGTGTAATCGCATAAGTGGGATTTGGAAAGGATAATGTGTACTGTATAATCAATTTTACTCCTACCATGTGAAACTAGGGTAGTTGTTATTATTATTGTCCTTATTCTTAGCATAATTTCTACTCTCTAATTTATTTTTGCTATACCAATTTAGCCACAAAGCAAAGGAGTTTGATCGATCATAGTACCTTTGTCTTTATCCTTGTTTTTAGGGATAAGGCACAAGTACCCTCGTAGACTATGACTGAAATCTCATAGACACACCTTAACTAAAATAAGGTCCTATTACTCACCTGAACTCATTTTTTGTAATTTTGTACACCTTTTGGCTTACGTGGCACACTCTATGACTCCACACTGTTGAGGCGCGTGAGAGATATTTTGATACAACATAAGCCAAAAAGGTGTACTAAATTAAAAAAAAATGGGTTCGGGGGGGGGGGGGGGTAAGTAGGATCTTAGTTTAGTTAAGGTCTGTCGCTGGAATTTCGGTCATAGTCTAGGGAGGTACTTGTACCTTAGCCCTTGTTTTCTTAAAAATCAACTTTTAAATGAATAGTAGCAATTTTTCTGGTAAACAACCATACTGATCACTTTGAAGAATTAGTATGTCCTAATGATTAAATTTATAAGAGGATGATTACAATTTCACTTTACGTTAAAGAAATCTAAAGTTCAAATATCATTAGAAGTTCTAGTGTCTTTTATATTTGGCAAGTCTTTGTTTTATCTATAGGACAATAATTTTTTTCCAACTGTTTATCCATTCAACGTTAATCGTATTGTCTTAAAGTATACATATAATTTGTTAGCAATAATAAATTTTAAATCATGTAAATAGGACTATATATTCTGTAGTATTTCATAGTAAATTATGATATTATAATTATATTTTCATGCTTGTAAAACAAAAATAATGTTTGAGTTTTATTTTGTTTTATTATTAATATATACTATTAAAAACATTTAGAGGATTGGATTGTGGGCTTGTGGCCTAATGATTTAATACAATGGGAATCATTTTGTCACGACCCGAGCCTACACCCCGGATGTGGCCGGCACTCGAGAATCATTGTTGGCCCTCAAGTGAACCCTCATCCTTGCTGACTACAACCGGATGACTAACTCAAGCATACATAAGCATCAAATTTAAAGAAATGTTTAAAAACAGTGTATTGAATCTCAAAACTGAATAGAATATACTCAGTATGAAACATAAGTTTTAAATAAAAACATCTGAAACTGAAAGACTCTCCAAAACTATCTATCTATGAATCATCTACTATACAAAGATAAGTTTCAGGACAAGACCCACGACTCCTCAAAAGAACTACTACTAACAACTCATAAAACTGGAGTACTCTGAAAGAAAGGAGGTCTCACTCATAAGCAGACGAGCAGATGAAATGATCTCAACAAACTTTTGTTGAGGATCCTAAGAACCTGTATTTGCATCATTAAAAGATGCAAATCGAATGACATCAGTACATTGAATGTACGAGTACGTAATATAGCTGAATAACAAATAACTGAAAGAAAGGACTACAATAGATAACAATGTACTCAAGCTGAATGTAAAGAAATAAAGGAGTTAAAATCATTTAAAGCTTTACAAAATACTTTCTCATCTCTGAACTCAACATTATAAGTGATGTATAAAAATACACTTTAACTCTATTGGGAGATTCTCTAATCCACAACCATCACTATGAGTTACGTGATGATACAGCGTCTCGCTCACGCTGCCAGAACTATTCTATACCTTGCCGAGGTATAGAACACCTCAACTAAGTGAATCCACTAAGCTCTACCCGATGACACTTATGATTCATCTAAAAAGTATTATCATGTACCCATGTTAGCATACATGGTTTGTGAGAAATGTGAGTTGTCTGAACTCATCCATATATCGTTGCTCAATACTACTCCCAATAATATATACTCATGCTCAATGTTTAAAAACACACTCTTCCTATGGTTTGAGATAATTGCTCAAACTATCCTCTTAAACTAAGTAACTGCTCTTCAAATATTTTTGAATTCATAACTCATTCAGAAATCAAATTTTCTCTTTTATCAATGCAAAAACTGATAAATTTGGAAATACTTAGTTCCCTTATACTGTAGCTCATTCATATTTGAAAACTCTTTCTCAAAAATATATCAAAATCATATTGCGATATGATCTTTGATGACCCGGGAAGTCATACTGCATAAACATTGATGGCATAACTAGATGTCATGATCCGAGCCTACACCCTGGACGTGGCCGGCACTTGAAGACCATTTCTGGTCCCCAAGTGAACCCTCATCCTAGCTGACTACAAGTGGAAGACTAACTTAAGCATGCAAAAGCTTAAAACTTAATAAAATTCAATAAACTCAACTTTTCAAAACTTTAACTCAAATGAAAAACTTAGAATAAAAATAATATATCCAACTCGCCATAAAATAGGCAACTTAAGTCTTTAAAATATTTAATAAAATAAATAAATAATACAAACTTCTCAACTATACTGACTATCTATGAAGCCTCTAACTGGTAAAGATAGAAGTCGGGACAAGACCCGCGACATCCTGACTAAACTGAAAACTAAATGAAATCCTCCGGAAATAAGGAGGTTCACCATAGCTAACTCGAACTCCAGATGTATCAACGAATCTCTTATTGATGATCCTGAATACCTGTGTCAGCATTATGAGAAGATGCAGGCCAAATGGCTCAGTACGTGAAATGTACGGGCATGTAAGAGAAATTCTAAAGCATAAACATAAGCTTGAAAATAATCTGAAGGAACTGAAGAACTTACCTGGCTCAACTCAACTCAACATAACCGAACTCATTACAATATAAAGCAGTTTAAAACCAGTGCAATCTAAAGAAAAATTATTGAAAACATGATGTCAACTCTGTGTGTATGCAAAGATACAAATAACTTTGAGATGTATGTAAAAATACAAATAAACTAATGTATATAAAAATACAAAGTACTGTTGTGGTAGTTTCTCTAACAGACAACCATCACATAAGAGCTATTGTGATGATACAAAGATCTTTCTCACGCTGCCAGCGAATCCTATACCTTGCCACATGTATAGGATCTGAACTACTAAGTGGATCCACTAGTCTATGCGGAAAGGATTCATCTAAAAAGTATGACCCTTTTCTACCCTTGATGGCTACATTGTTTATGGAGACGTGAGTTATCTGACCTCAAGCTCTTCCCCATATCGGTGCTCAATACTACTCCCAAAATATGATACTAGCTCTTTATGTTAAAAACATACTTCTTTCTGTGATTTGAGATAATTGCTCAAAAACTTAGCTCAAAGTCTATCTTGGAAATCAATGTTTCCTCTCTTGCTTTATTGTGAAAGCATTTACTCTTTAACTGAAAACTAGCCCAAAGGCTCTTTACTGAAAAACTAGCTCAAAGGCTCTTTATTGAAACACTAGCTCAAAGGCTCTTTTGAAAATCTCAGTTTTCCGTTCTTATTTAAATGTGAAAAACATTTTTAAACTCTTCTAGGAATACATAGTCCCCATATACTTTTGAAGAAATGAACTTCAACTTTACTCTTTACTGAACTCAAAACTTAAGTCTTAAAACAAAGTTAAAACATTTGTAAAAGACTTCTTAAAAATATGGTTCACGCCGAATTATGGACTTGAACGACTCAATGCAAGGTTTTCAATAACTATAGATAGACTCAAATACTTGGAACTCAAGAACTTCAATGATACTACTAATTTCAAGAATGCTCA